TAAAATAATAAATAAATAAAATTTGGTTTTACTAAAATGCACCTATCGCTGTACAGTAGTATTTTTACCACTTACAGTATGTTACATTATCTCAAAACTGGCATAAACTAGTATGCGGCGCTTTAAGTAAAAATGCTCTACGCCTCTGAAAACCTTTTCCAAACCCAAACCTTAATCTTAACCCATATAAGAGCAAATACTGAAATAGGTGCAAAATCACCATGGGTGCTTTTTATAATGAATAATCATTGAGAAAAATTAATACTCAAAAAATTTAATTTCAAATTCGTCCATCTAGACTATGTAATACTATATATATACATATATATATATTATTTACATTGTATAAATATACTAATAAAGACTTTTAAAAATCAAAATTCTTAAATAATCCATAGGGCAAACTTTTGTAAGACATCTCTAATTTAAATGAAAGAGCAAAAAATGTACAACACTGCCAGCTACACTGCCCCCTAGGTATTACCGATACAAATAAGCAAAGTCATTCTTGTTTGCCTAGTCTATTATTTTCATTTTAATAAAAATTACCGATACTACACAAACATTCGACAATTAGAAAAATTTTGCTCTATATATAGTAATACAATATATGATATTTTTATTTCGGCCTTGCGTTAAAGTCTCATGAGCATGAAATATTTATCATTGTAATTTTTTCACAATAATCGTAATAAATAATTATAATACGTAATAAGTTAATTTTAGATAAGATCAGCTAAATTACGTATTGTTTAATATCATTGTGTAATTCAAAATAAATTACAGCCATCTATCACGTGATAGATAATTTTAATGTTAAAATTACATCAATATATTAATATATTTCTTAAAAAATTTTTATAAATTTCTTCAAAAATTTCAAAAAAAAATTTTTTTTTTTTTCCATTACATTGAACTGATCATATTTAAAATAACAAATAACCAAGGATACTATAGTGATCGGTATTCTCCGGTAGCGCAATATTTTGGAAGAAGGCCTTTGAGGTTTCATCCTCGCCGATAGGCCAACTTGGTGCTGAAAGTCTATTTCGTTTATCTCTGGGTACTCCTATAAATAACCAGTTACTGCATATCTGATATTCTGTCGCTTTTTAATAATAATTACTATATTTAATTGATTAATTGATGGATAAAATGGATAATAATCTAAAAGACAAAAATGGTAGGTGTTTTTATGCCAACTAAAAAAGTATTAATAATTATAATTATTATACTTAATTGCATTTATTTCTTTTAAAGATAACGATAATAAGCCAGTAGTTTCAAAAAATGACCTAGATCAAAAGACAGAAGATAAGGCTACCAAGCCAATTCCAAATCACACACAACAAAAAGAAGCTAAAACAAATCATCATCATGCTGGAAATATTCTACAAACGACTCTTCAAAAAATGTTTCCATCGGCAGATAAGCCAAAAGCTCCCAAAAGTTCGAAAAATTCATCTATTACTGGTCATGAGTCTGAAGATGAACGAACTGAAAAAACTCAGAATACTCGATCCACCTCAAAACAACGTTTTCAGAAACTTAATACGGGATCACATGTACACAATTTACAACCCAAAAAAGTTCATCGTATTAATAATTTCTTTAAAGATTTCGGCATTCATGGACATAATTCTGTGGATGAAAAATCCCAAAATGAGTCAGATACTACGAAAAAGAAGAATTCGGATGAATCTTTATCAGGAAAATATGGGAAGCCACAGGAAGTCGTTGGCAAAGGTACAGTATGATTTAAAAATTTTATTTATTTATCATTTCATATTACAAAAATCACACATTTGTTGATCACTAAGTCAATTTATCATTATTATTCAGGTGCATTTGGTATTGTCCGTATCGCCCACAAAACGGAACCAAAAGTACCGGGAGAAAAACTTTTTGCTGTCAAGGTTTGTTTTTTTTTATAACATTTTTAATTTTTATATTTTTCAAAAACGAATGCTTAAAAATTCATCTTTATCAAAACTATAAAATTAGGAATTCAAAAAGCGTCATAACGAACCTTTAAAAAAATATATGAAACGTTTGACATCGGAATTTTGCATATCTTCATCCCTTCATCATATCAATGTAATTGACACGATAGATTTACTTCAGGATACCCAGGGAAACTATTGTGAAGTTATGGAATATTGTTCTGGTGGGGATTTATACTCTTTGATCATTTCTTCAGGTGGTTTAGAACAAAATGAAGCAGATTGTTTCTTTGGGCAATTGATCAATGGAGTCAAATATTTACATGAAAATGGTGTCGCTCATCGGTATGTAAATTATTGAATTCATTTTTATAATATAAAGAAACTATTATGTTTACTGAAATTTTTTTTTTTTTTTTTTTTTTTTTTTTTTTTTTTTTTTTCTTAAACCTGAAAATCTTCTTCTAACCTCTGATGGATGTCTCAAAATTACAGATTTCGGTAATGGTGAATGTTTTAAGATGGCATGGGAGAAACAAGCTCATATGTCACGTGGGGCTTGCGGTAGTGAACCTTACATTGCTCCTGAAGCGTTTACTGGTAAATGGTTCGATCCAAGACCTGTAGATGTTTGGGCTTGCGGAATAATTTACATGGGGATGATCACTGCTAGACATCTTTGGCGATGCGCCAAAGAAAACGAGGATTTTAATTTCAAGATCTATTTAGAATCAAAAAAGCATGGCGAGTGTATTTTAGCTCCTTTCCAAAGATTAAGTGATGTAAGTAAAAGTAAAATTTACAATATATTATTATTATTTTTTATTATTATTATTTATTATTATTATTTATTATTATATAATAATTTATTATATAATTAACATGTCATAAATTTTCATTATAAATAGAAACGACTCCGCATGATATCCAAGATAATAGAACCGGATCCTAGTTTACGTATCACTGCCGAGCAAATTACTGAGGATCCTTGGTTCTCGCAACTTGATATTTGCCATAAACCACAAACAAAAAATTCTCATTTACATACAAATACGACGTGTGGTGTAAATGCTACAAACCAGCAACCGACAAATTTGAACAAATTAACTATCATGAATATGGTATAGTCAACCAGTATTGTGATATTAGGCAATAAAATGAACAATTTAATTGTTTCTAAAAAAAAATAAACGAAATAAAAAAAAAAAAGAGGAGAGAGAGAGAGAGAGAGAGAAAAGGGTATCATTAATATTGATCTTAAAAATTTGTTAGTATTTTCGATATTTCTGATCTGCCCTATGATCAGCCTTTTTGAAATTAATATCAAATAGTTTGCTGTTCGTGAAATGTTGGAGAATATTCTTTCGAAACTTATTTTCGATCATGATTTTTGTATATTATATAATTTTTAAGACATGTAAATATGATCAAATAATAATATGGTTATGATTGATCTGAGAATCGATTTACTAGTATAGTATGTTTAATAGAATCAATTTTCTTAATCAATTTACTTAAAAATTCAAAATAAGAGCTAAAGAATAAATATTATTCTTATGCCGATTTTGTATTTGTATTTATATAATCTTGTTTTTTTTTTTTTTTATAACTATTAATATTTAATTACATAATACAAATAATTAAACTACTGTACTGTGTACTGTATTGTAAACCTTAAAAAATATATAAACAATTAATTGTACAAAATTTTTTTTTGAAGCATAGTGGTAAAGTGAGAAATCAAATAATATTGGTTAACGTGTGGTCTGTAAATTGGAATCATAGATTTTTATACCAATTCGTCTTACTAAGACAACAGATTATGTAAACAAAAATTTATGCGTATTAAATACCAGATTGCAAAATAAGTACCGTGGCAGGTTAAAAATAAAATCACTAAAATAAATGGGGGTTGTGTAAAATAGACAAGCCACCGAAAAACAATGTTTTTTAAGGTTAGGGTTAGAGTTTAGGGTAATAAACGAATAGAGCAAATAATTAAACCTAACCGTAAGAAGTCTGGCTATGAACTACAGTATTACAGTATATAGTTAAGAAACAAGTTTTGCACCATTAAAACCGGTCTAATATACGTAAATAATCTTAACACTTTTTTCCTTTGATTGTCCTGCAAATTTTCACCTGCTGGCTTAGTTGTAATCAAATACCTAATACCTTCCATTTCTGATTCTTTATTCTATCGCAATGTATATGTCATTGACATATGTTAATCATGTTCCTTTGCACCATCTTTTGATTCTCACATGCATTGTTCTTACCTGCGAAGGATCGTGTAGTTGCTCTTCTTTTCGGCCACGTGACATTGTATCGTTTTGCAAAAATCATATTCAAAGTGACGAATCAAATTTATATCTTTTTTCATATGTTCATGTTTACCAGGGGCCATCGAACGGACTACATAATTTATTAATAAAATCTATGTTATAGGTTAAGGGTTAGTATTAGATGTCAATTTTGAATTAGCTTAGGTTGGGGGTTTTGAATATTTTGTACTTAGAACACTAGGCATTAATTATTTAGTTTTTTGAGATATAGCAACTGTGGTCGCGTTTTAGTAAACTCGAAAAAATATACACTATACAAAATATTAATTATTTTTATCTAGAATATTATAATAACGTAACCAATCGAAAATATAAGTCATAGATTCACAGCCATCATCATTAAAAAAATTACCAGGTTATATCTTTTTGCAAAGCGCTATAATAAATCTAAGAGTGCGTTTATCGAAAAATCAAATATCATTTTATTGGTACATTTTTATTGGTTAGATCATGTGTAACCCCAAAAAATCAGATAAACCGCAAAAATTTGGAAATCTTAGGATTAAGTGCGTTTAGGGGGTATAACGAAGGATCGATCGTTTCAGACCGCGGTCCAATTACCCCTCCCCAAAAAAAGTTGGCTCTCTGAAGTACTGTACGTCTGGTGGCAGACAGTACAGTTGGTAGAGCACCCGCCTTGTAAGCGGAAGCGTGTGAGTTCGAAGCCCACGACCAGCACCATTTGGCTCTCTGAAGTACTGTACGTCTGGTGGCAGACAGTTCAGTTGGTAGAGCGCCCGCCTTGTAAGCGGAAGCGCGTGGTTCGAAGCCCACGACCAGCACCATTTGGCTCTCTGAAGTACTGTACGTCTGGTGGCAGACAATACAGTTGGTAGAGCACCCGCCTTGTAAGCGGAAGCGCGAGTTCGAAGCCCACGACCAGCACCATTTACTTTCTCTGGAATTTAACGAAGGTCGCCTTAATTTCTTAATTTTGCCGACGTCTTTGTCAACGGATAAATAAACGCGGTATAACTTCGTGTCCTCCTAGAATTAAAACACATATCCATGGTAGGTCTCCAGTGGTGCAAACGGAAAATGGGACATATCCATGATAGGTCTCCAGTGGTGCAAACGGAAAATGTATGGGTTCACGACAGCACCAACAATGCTGATTGGCTTTGTGTGTGCATTAAAGTAGACATTAGCCAATGGAGAAACTTTGATGAACCGATTGATGTTAAAACCTCAATGCTCTCTTGGAGAAGTTTGGTTTTGATTTCAGTGGAGGATTTATCCCTCGGGTCCTTTGACCTGCTGAGTTGATAACTCAAATTATGAATCGGCTGAAGATATTTATTGGAAAATTAAGGATTGGCTTGATAAAATATCTAGGTCAAATGATAATGAAGGGTTAGATACAAAGGTGTTCCTTTTTCCTGATGGATATGAAGCGAACCCTATTATTTTGCATGCTAGCAAGGCAAGTAAGGCCCGTGGTATTGGTATGCAGTATGAAATTGAACACTGTCTTTCTATTCAATGGTAAACGTTACCGATTGTCCTTCGTACCTCTTTAGCTCGTTATTGACGTGGACTAAAAAGCAATCGCTAGAGGACTTAGAAGAAACTTGAAAATGAAACTGAGGGCGAGATTTTAGATATAATGTATTTTTATCGGTGCAAGGAGGAAGAAAAATGTAAACGAGTAAAGTAGGAAAAATAATCAGTGATGGGTCTAATAGCATAGTTCCCAGATGAACGCTTGAAAATGGTTATAAAATTCTCCGTTAATCGTGTTTAAAAGAACATTAGCATCAGTAATGGTGCTTTCAGTTTCCTCCACTTTAATAATCATGCCTTAACTGGCAACACTTATTTAACAATCTTTCTCTTTTAACATCGGTTATCACATAATTTTTATTTCTTCATATCTTTTACCACTTCATTTATCCTAACAAAGCAATCCATACAATACACTTTTCCACTATGTCTCCTAAACTTTTCTATGCGGAGTTAACCAGCGTTTCTCTTTCTTCTGGGTGTGATTTTGTCGTTGGAACCGTCATTTCCGGAGGTTCTGGATCTTTTTTCGTCGTTTTTCGGTGGTTCTTCCAAGAATTCTTCGTCGTTTTCGCCTTTCATTTCCCGTTTTTTTCGCCGTCCTTAGCTTAAAAGATATTTGTTAATAATGCAAAATGGCAGGATTAATAGTCGAAAGCGTTCGGGAGTTTGTGACAAACGCATTAAAATAGAGAAAGGCGAAGGATTTTTAAGAGGTTTACTTTTGGTCTCGACTGAATATTCAGAAATTACAGAATTACGCATAAAATTTTCTATATCCAGTTGTTAACTGGAATTTCATATTTCTTTAGCTATATCAACAAATTAATAAGATACTTTTTATAATAAAATACGATGATTGTATTTCATAATAGCATTAAAGAATCGCCTGAGGGAAAATCTTAGTTAACAAAAATCGTTCGTAAAGTTTCACAAGCCACATGTCTAATTTCGTTATAGTAGAAATATAGTAGAAATCATGACTTTTAAAAAATTCTAGTTATTCAGCCTCGATCGAGGCCAAATTCTTATGTGCGATCAGCATTGATGTTGGATATCAATCACATTTATTATTGCTCGATCACTAAATTTTATTGCATGTATTGTAAACTATATACATTTTGAATAAACATATGGGAATATGGTTCGCTCCATCATAGCGTGGCATTTTACTAACAACTCAACTGTAATTTAGACTTTTCTTCAACCGAACTCATTTATTATCATGTTCGACTAGATGGCAATCGTAAGTTACCTATTGTAACTGCCATGTACATAGGATGTTACCCTGCTTGCCGAAACTCAGTTCGACCCTGTTTGGAACCGAACCCAATGGAACTCGAGTTTTTGCGGTCACATGATTTTATTATTAAATCATGCTCCAAACGAGTTTGAAATAGATCGGACGAGCAATATTAATTTAGGCTATCGGTTATGACGAATAAAAATTACTATCTCAATGTTGCGTGATATGACGAATAAAAAATTACTATCTTATGACGAACAAAAGTCAATTTTCTTTGACTTTTTTTTTTTAATTTAATGTGTCGTGATATGACGAATAAAAAATTCTATTTTATAACGAGCAAGAATCAATTTTTCTTTGATTTTTGTTTTTTAATTTAATATGGCGTGAAATGATGAATAAAAAATTACTATCTTATAACGAACAAAAATCAATTTTTCTTTAACTTTTTTTTTTAATTTAATGTGGCACGATATGACGAATAAAAAATTACTATCTTATAACGAACTTGACTTTTTTTTTTAATTAAAAGTTAATTTAATGTAACGACAATATTCATTTTAATTTTTTTTTTAATTAATAATATAAATATGCAATTTCTTATATTTTTTTTACCTGAATTTCACTATTCAATGGACCAAGTCAATACATTTGAAGAACTTATCGATTCAATTGAACCTACCTCTTCAGGTTCAATATCTCAAAATGCACTTGAACCTGAAACGCTTATAGTAACAAACCATCCTCTACAGCGAGTAAAAAAAGACCCTTTCTGGAATGAACTTACTGAAGTTGGTGATATATGACATTGCAGCCTTTGCAATAAAGCATACTGATCAAAGAAATGTTTTTAAAAGCAAAAAATACAATCAACCAAATACATAACATGTGGTCTGAAGAAAATGCCTCCACAAGTCTCTGCTTAAAAACTTGGTATAAAGTGGGTATTATTGACTGTAATAAAGATTAATAAATTGGATAAAAAAAAATAATAGCGAATAAATGCAATAACATCATAATGCAAAAATTTATATATTTTAGCTTTAATAAAAGTAATAGTAATATGATTGCTAAAAAAAAAAAGTAATAGCAATATAAATACCAAAAAAAAAAGTAATGGCAATAAAATCATCAAAAAAAAAAGCAATAGTGATAAAGAAAAAAAAAGTAGGTAATAGCAATATGATTGCCAAAAGAAAAAAAAAGTAATAGTGATATGATCACAAAAGAAAAAAAAAGCAGGTAATAGCAATAGCAGGTTTTATTAAACTGCTCGTACAAGTATAATTATTAATGCATTTATATAAACTGAGTTAAAATCAGTTTTTATTTAATATACCCTGAACAGAGTTCTCTTTAAGCACAAGTTAACCAGTTGGAGCAGGATAATATTCCTAACATAGGGTGTCTGGTATACAGGGTTCCACAATTTGATTCAATTCAATTTAATTCAATCAAATATTTGATCTAAAATCAAATCAAATCAAATTCAAATTGACAAAATATTCTATTCAATTCAACAAATATCTAAAAATTTTTATTGACACTATAGATTTGATAGCTATTTACATAAAATTTTATTAAGACAACTGCTTTATTGTTCTATAAAACTAGACTATTTTGATTAGAAGAACATTTTTTACTTAATACAGAAAATTGATAACTTAGTAAAATTTTGTGTAAATTGAAAATTTTGAAATGTGACCAAAATTTTAAAATTTTTAAAAATTACAAATAAATTTGATTTGATTTGATTTGATCAAATCAAATTCAAATCAAAGGATTTATTTAATTCAATCAAATTCAAATATGCCTAATATTTGATTCGATTCAACTTTGAGGACCCTACTAGTATAGTTGCAACATTTTACTTTTTTGTGTGGATAATACAGACCAAAAAAAGAATTCCGATTTTGTAAATAAACTAAGTGCATGAGATAAAAATTTAGGGTTAGGGCCTTAACATTAAAGACTATAGGGTTAGAGTAATATTTAATATAAGTAAAATTTCATTCCTGTTATTTTTTATTAGTATAGATCGATTTAAACATTAGTTTTTGCATATTTTCGCTTTTTTCTTCTTTTATGCATGTTCAAATTCTTCATCAAGCTGATCTGGAATAGTCAAAACTTGCATTCTTGATTGGCTATTTTCTCTCCAGGAGCTTGTATTACTTGCACAAATAAGTAGATGCTAGTTGCAAAGGCATGCCAATGGTCTATTTACTTATTTGCGCAAGTAACACAAAATCTAATTTTGTAAATAAATACCAAATAAACTAAGTACATGAGATAAAAATTAGGGTTAGGGCCTTAACATTAGAGGCTATATAGTTAAAATAATATTTATTATATGTAAAATTTTATTCTCATTATTTTTAATTAGTTCACCAAGATCGATTTAACCATTAGTTTTTGCATAGTTCGCTTTTTTCTTCCTTTTTCTTTTTTTATGCATGTTCAAATTCTTTGTTAGGCTGATTCAGAATAGTCAAAATTGCACTCTCTGATTCCGCAAATAAGTAGATGCTACCAATGGTAACATACTATATTAGCATGCCTAAAACAAATATATCAGCAAATATTTTAGACAAATAATTATCGATATATAGCGACAAATCGATATATAACATTTAGAACATAGCGATATATATTGATATCTGGTTATAAATCGATACTTATCAAAAATTGATATATCAGAAATAGATTATAATCGATATGCAACTATTGATCAATTATCATTGAATTTATAAAATTGATAATCATCGATTAATGGTTAGAAATTGATAATTAGCACATAGAATATACATTAAGTTTTTTAACAATCAAATTATAATCATTAAAATTCTTAACAATTAACTACAAATTATAATTATTAAGATTCTTAATAATTAACTACTAAATTATAATCATTAAGATTCTTAACAATTAATTACTATATTATGGTTTATTAAAAAAAAATACATCATGTTCCAAGACAGATATAGAATGTACTGTCGAAACTTTACTGCCCTTTTTTGTCACTAGAGTTGT